GGAAAGAGCACAGACAAAGCCTTATTTTGTTTACTTGAAGATATTTATTTTATATTTCTTATTTATTTGATTTGGGGCTTGTTTTAAAATTTCAATTTAGTTTTGTTATTTACATTTACATTATATTTAAATTTAGTCATTTAGCAGGTGCTTTTGTCCGAAGCGATTTACAAATGAGGACAATAGAAGCAATCAAAACCAACAAAAGAGCAGTAATATGCAAGTGCTATATTAATATATTATTATAGTGTTATATTTCAATTTCACAAAGAAATGTGCAGCATTTCGTTCAAGCAATAATAAAAGGACACATTTAATTTATAATTTGTCTTAAATCTCATTTTGTTAAAAAAATCGTGAATCAAATCGAATCGAATCGTGAGTTGAGTGAATCATTACATCCCTATTTAAGACACAAGAACATGGTCGTTCTGACCTTCATGCCGAATGTGAAGATGGTGATGACGATCTTGAAGACGAGTGCCAGCGCAAGCTGCCAGAGGGCGCTGTAGACGCCGGGGCCGGCGGGTCTGTCGGGGATGTCGTCCACGGGTCGGCTCATGTTGGGGTTGTTGATGTAGTCACAGAGCTGTGAGGACTCGAGCGAGCCGCAGTCATTAAACAGCTCGGAGATCAGCTCGCTGGTGCTACGCCGTGTGTACGGGTTCGGGAAGGCCAGGACGGCCGTGATCCCCGTCACCACGATCACCTCCAGCACCGGATACTTTCCCAGCAGCGTGGTCTTGCGCCGCCGGCACCAGGCGATGTTGGCTCGGAGATCAGCTCGCTGGTGCTACGCCGTGTGTACGGGTTCGGGAAGGCCAGGACGGCCGTGATCCCCGTCACCACGATCACCTCCAGCACCGGATACTTTCCCAGCCGCGTGGTCTGGCGCCGCCGGCACCAGGCGATGTTGCAGCGGATGAAGAGCGTCCCCCAGAGGCCCCCGAACACACCCAGCAGGATGAACGGCACCAGCTCGGCCATGTACCATGGCGTGTGATACTCCACGTAAAACAGAACCAGACGGTTGTTGCCGAACGGGTTTATGGAGCGCAGCGTGAAAGCTGCCACCAGCGCCGCGAAAAAAGACCGCCATAACGTCTTCAGAGGGAAATAATAACTCACCTGCAGAGAAACAAACACACGCCATCACATATTTAAATACACATTTTAGGGCTGTCATGTGATTAAAACTTTAATCTAATTAATTACATGATGTGCTGATTCATTCAATCAATTTTGACTGAGAAATTACCCCCTAAAAAGATCACATATTGCCCTCATATTCAGCATTGCCTAAATAGTGATAATAAATTGCTATTAATGGGTTTTAAAAATGAATACTGAAATATAATTTTTTTTTTTTTTTCAAAAAATGAAATGATTCTCTCAACTAAAAGCGCCAGTAGGTGGCAGCAAGTCACTGTCTTGATAAGTGAGTCACTCAGTTATTCATTCGACCGATTCATTCAGAAACAAAGCAAGTGACTGTCTTTATATATGAGTCACTGAATCATTGACTCACTTCATTCGCTCAAATGGCTGATTCATTCAGAAACAAAGCAAGTAGGCTTGTTCGAGATGCATCGGCGCTGCGCAGAACGATCGGTGTATGACATCAAAGTACCGTGAGAGCCATAATAGAGCAGACGACTCTTTATGCTTTTGAATTGCTCTCGCGGTACTTTGATGTCATACACCGATCGTTCTGCGCAGCGCCTATGCATCTCGAACAAGCCTATTGTCTTTATGAATGAATCACTGAATCGATTCGTTCAAACAGCTGATTCATTCAGAAACAAAGCAAGTGAAAGTCTTTATAAATGAGTCACTAAATCATTGACTCACTTCATTCGCTCAAATGGCTGATTCATTCAGAAACTAAGCAAGATACTGTTTTTATAAATGAATCACTGAATCATTGACTCACTTGATTTGTTCAAACTGCTGATTCATTCAGAATCTAAGCAAATGACTGTCTTTATGAATGAATCAATGAATCGATTCGTTCAAACGGCTGATTCATTCAGAAAAAAAGCAAGTGAATTGTATTTATAAATGAGGCACTGAATCATTGACTCACTTCATTCGCTCAAACAGCTGATTCATTCAGAAACTAAGCAAGATACTGACTGTGTTCGAAATGGCATACTTGCTTACTGCTTACTGCCCAGTACACAGTGCATACTGCCTACTATTTTTTTAAAGAATAGTGTGTGAAACAGTATACAATAAGCAATAAATGTTTCAGAGTAGTATGCTTAAGTGCTGTCACATGTGTTGTTCTGTTGTCGGTGTTTCTTTGTCTGAATATGGCGCTTATCACATGCTGTGTGGTATCGGCGTTTGGTATCGGGGCATTTTACGAGTACGAGTACAGGAGACCAGTATCGGGCCCGATACCGATACTAATGATTACATATTTTACATAATTTAAATGAATGATTATACATTTTACATTATGATTATACATTAAACAATATAGTGCCTACAGAGTACATCAAACTCTTTAAAAAAAATAAATAAATACAAAAGAAATGAATAAATTCAAGAAAAATTCAGTTTGCCAAATTATGAGCCCCTTTGACTGGCTATTATAATGCATCACAGTGTGCGTGTGTGTGTGAGTGAGTGAGTATCTCTGTGTGTGTGTGTGTGTGTGTGTGTGTGAGTGAGTATCTCTGTGTGTGTGAGTGAGTGAGTGAGTGAGTGAGTGAGTGAGTGAGTGAGTGAGTGAGTGAGTGAGTGAGTGAGTGAGTGAGTGAGTGAGTGAGTGAGTGAGTGAGTGAGTGAGTGAGTGAGTGAGTGAGTGAGTGTGTGTGTGTGTGTGTGTGT